GCTCAGAATTCCCCAGCCATTCTGGGAATTGAAATCCACACATCTTAAAAGTTGCTGAGGTTGAGAAAATCTGCCTCTCTGGTTCAGCCTACTGTGCAACCCAGAAAACAGAGGAGATTCTCAGTCATCCATTTTGGTTGTCCCAAAAATGTTTCTTCAAAAGGCAACTGGCCTTTCTTTGTTTTTCCTTGAAGACGTTTCACTTCTCATCCAAGAAGCTTCTTCAGTTCATCTGAAGAGGTTTCTTGAGAAGCGAAAGGTCTTCAAGGAAAAACAAGGGAGGTCCAGTTGCCTTTTGAAAAAGCACCTTTGGGACCAGAAAACGGAGGTTAATTCAGCAGACAGATTAAACATGGACAACCTGCTTTGCCTTTTCTCTCTACCCCTCTCCCCAATAGCCCCCACGGCCCGTTCTTGGCTTTCCTTGCTCACCCTTGTCAGTAAGAGGACATTTGTTAGCAATTAGAAGTGGGTGGGAGGGACAGCGCATATTTCGGCAGGGATCCAAAGCCTCCTCGCCTCGCACTCCTTCCCCGGCCCGCCCACCCTAGATTTGGGGGCAGCGTCTATGGGGGCGAGGGGGGGAGAGAGAGTAAGAGAGCTTGAGAAGGAGGCAGCTGGCACGTAGAGAAGCCGCTCGTCCTCTTGGGACATTGGAAGGAAGTTTATCTGGGCTCCGGCCCAAGGAGCAGAACAAGAGAAGGACGGAGCGTGGCGGATAACATGCTTCCTGTGTGTTAAACTGCGCTCAGGGAAGCAAAGACGGCGCGCCAAGGATGCTCGTGAGGAGACGGCAAGCCGCCGCGGGGCCCTGAAGGGTGGGCACCTCGCCCCGCCTTGCCGTCCCCCCTCCTCCGAAAGCAACAAGTTTTAGCGGCGGGGCTCCTTGGACTTCGGGGGCGGCGTAGCGTCCCAGCCACCCAAGGACCGCCGCTCTTGTTTCGGATGAGACTGTCCCCCCGACCCCGGCTGCCTCCTTTCGGCCTCTAGGGCCTAGTCCCATGAGGTCGAAGCGTCAGCCTCTTGCTGTTTGTTTTCCCAGGCTCAGCTCGGACGGACGGGAGGAGAATGAAAGGTGAGTTCCGGGCTTAGCGAGGCGGGAGGGACGAGGCAGTGTCCCATCAAAGGGCTCTCCTTCACCCCCTTCCTCTAGAAAAAAAAATCCCCAGTCGCCCCCTTGGGTCAGGCAGAGGAGGGAGATGGGGTTGCTGTCTTGGGAAATGCCGCGGTTTACCTTCCCATCTGACTTTTAACCAGACCGGATTTTAAGTCGTGTAGAAACGTTGCAGATGCTGTTGGCACAACATACTGACCATGTTGAAGAATAACCTTGATTAGACTTGTGTGCTTAATATGCACTCAGTTTCATTTGGTTAGTGACTGCTTTAATAGACTGTGCAAATTCAGAAAACGAGTTTATTCTGTGATCAGGTTAAAACAGTTGTGTTAATAGCCAAAGACTAAGGAAGCAAGATAGGACCACGAATATTCCAAACTTTGGCCTATAGACAATTGGAGACAATCAGGGATATTTCTTACCGCACTATGCCACCTACTCATCAGTTTCAAAATAGGATGTTTTGATGTTTTAACACAGGGATCTCCAAACTTGGCAACTTTTAAGACTTGCGGACTTAAACTCCCAGAATTCCCCAATCAACATGGCTGGCTGGGGAATTCTGGGAGTTGAAGTCCGCAAGTCTTAAAGTTGCCAAGTTTGGAATCCCTGTTTTAACATTATAACCAATTACAAAAAATACAATTAAAAATACAATAAATGTTGTCCAAGTAAAAGTCTTCATCTTGAAAGTTTTATGGGAGAGGAGTGTCTCTGTCAATTTTTTGAAGGATAAAAGGATTGGCGTTAAATCTGCCCTCCTGTGGCAAGCTGTTTTGCAGTGGGGGACTGCCACCTAAAAAGTCACTCCCCAGGTCCCAACCTACTTGAGCTTTTGAGGGATTGAGTACCTGCAACAGCCTTTCCTGGCTAGACAGTATAGGATGTGCAAATTCTACCTGGTATATAACAACAGCACCCACACCTTGAATTGAGCCCAGATGCCTACTGGCAATTAGTACAGCAGCCACAAAATAGGCTAGCACTGACCTGCAAATAGGCAATGGCTGTATTTTGCTTCAGCTGTAGCTTCCAACCTATCTTCAGTGGTAGCCCCACCAAGAGAAAATTATGATAATCTGATAAGGGCATGTGTCTTTGTTTTCTTCTCTTGGTCCAGGAGAGGACACAATGATCAAACCAGCTGAAGCTTATAAAAGGCTCTTCTAGAGGGTACTGCTAGAGGGTACCCTCACCTGGTACTCTAGCAGAAACACCTAACCCTTTAAGGAAGTGTGACCTCATCCAAAGCAGTAGAGCGGTCACCAGTATATTGATGCTCACCAAACTCCAGAATAGTGAAGGACCTCTCCCAAAAGCTTCATGGAGGTTGTTTATATGGGCTAGGGCAGGTGGCCCATGGGCCAGATGCATCACACGCTGGCCATGTCCATGCCTGCTTTAGCGAAAGGGAGGAAAGTCACAATACGTCACATGATGACACCATGATGATGCAAGTTTCACATCCCTGAGCTAGATGGTCAAACTCTGAGGTGGCCTACACTGATGTACCCAAAGACGCTATGTTCCCTTCTCTATCAAAACTGGTTGGAATTACTTATAACGAGCAGAAGCACTTGAAAACATTAGATACCTTAGGAGAACTTGTGTTTGTTTGTAATACATGGTGCCCTTGAGATTCACAATTGTATTTACAATCTTCACACCCTTTGCTACAGGACAGATAATATTAATTCATATTAAACCATGTATTGCCTGGTGATGTGAGTAGTCAAATACCTGAAAAGCATGAGGGGGTTGGGGAGGACTGCTGAGGGATGGCAATTAAATGTTCTCCTTAACCTCCGCTGAAATGAGTGGGAAATATGTACGATCACATAAAGTAGTAATAGCCCTGCCAGATTTGACCACAATCCATGTAACCCAGTATTTTTTCCCCCGCAACATTGGCAACTCATATATCATAGAGGCAACAGCCCTCCCTTGTGGCTGGTATTCCGTCGCTGTTCTTCCAAAACAGACTTTTCGTGTGGAAGATCTGTATAGCTACCATCACAATAGGATTATTTCACCACTTCCCCTTTGGCTTGTATAGGATTACAGTCCACATGAAATCTCTTGACCTTCTTCAGTGTGACACCTTGATGCCTATGCTCCCAACTCTGTCAGATACTTTAAAGCGCTACTCTATTGTCATTTAAAAGTAAAAGTAAAGGTTTCCTTGTCAGTCATGTCTGACTCCACCACATGGTGCTCATCTCCGTTTCTTGGCTGAGGGAGCCAGCATTGTCCGAAGACTGAAGGATATAAATGCCCCAATTTTCTTTTCTTCTGATCCTTCTCCTTACCCTTTTCTATCCCTCTTCCAGTTTCTTTTAATTTTTTTTTAAATCTGGTGGCCAAGAATAATTGCTATATGGTGAATGAGGAAGATGAAATGTTTAATAAAAGGGAAACCACGAGAGGGAAAATGAGTGGCTGGCATGAAATGGTGTAGGATTATCAAAAGTCCTAACACATCCTCTTGAAGAGGCCAGTTTACAACCATAGCAATTTTTTTGCCTCGGGGCCTCAGGATGTTCCCTCCTCCACCCATTTTCCTGGTCCAACTTCAGAGATCAAAAGTATAGTTCAGATTTCAAACTTCCACAGAAATTGATTAAAGGGTTCCATTCCCCCTCCAGTTGGCTGAACGATTCATTTAATACCAGTGTTCATAATGGTGCGATTGAAATGAGAAAGCTGATGTTTCCAACTCCTCCTGTTTTGAAAGTCCTGGACTGTTGCAAGTACCATTTGAACTGGTTGAATTCAGAACATGTACTAAATCTTGCTTTTCTGCAGCTATCCCTCACCTAAGGCCATTTTTCCCAGCATCGTCGTGCTAGCTGGAAATTACGAGAGGTGATGATCCATATATTTGGAAGGTATCATCATCCTTAAGGGAAGGTAGATATAAACCAAATTGCAGTCTCTGAGTGCTAGATCTTTCAAAAGGCAGTTGCTCTTTTCTCTTTGTCTATCAGGCCCAAGAAACCAGAACAAGATGAGCTGTTCAAAGTTACTTCTTCATTGCTGCATGCCTATTTACAAGAATCTTGCCAAAGTAACTGCATTCTTTTAGGAACAGCCAAATAAGGGCTTCTGGGGGCGGTAAGATCTATGTTTCTTCCTGTTCTGCAAGGAGTCTAAGCTCACCTCTTCTTTACCCTTCCCCCTACTCTAGCTGGAAATCCCACCTTATTAATTGTTGCCTATCATGCTATCTGGAAAAGAAAATTCCATCCTTATTCTTTCTTCTCATATTTTAATATGTCTCAACATTGGCCTGGGTGGCTTGATTTGTCTTTTATGTACAGAGCTCTTGGCTGGAGAAAGCCTTCCATCTCTGACTGACAAATTATACTGAACTTGACTTTCTTACCAGAATGGTTTTGCCTTCTAGATATTTGGCTAAATGATCTAAGCTGACGGCAATAGCAATCACTCTTTGGGGTAGGAAGAATGGGGAGTTTATTATTTATTAATTGTATATGGCTATCCAACTCACACATAGTTGATCCCATGCAACTTACAACGTTTAAAAATCTACCGCATAAAAAACCCCACCCCACCACCCTTTAGCAACCTAATCAATTCAATCATTTGATGGGTTCATCTTCATTTGTGGTCCCCAGGCCCAGCGACAAAACTACATTTTTCGGCCTTTTGGAAAAGCAACAAGGTAGAGACCACTTGTATCTTAGGGGGAATGATGATCCAAGAAGAAAGGGCCATTACTGAGAAGGCCCTTTTTCATGGTCCCACCAGATGTATATTCCTAATCAATGGGATCTAAAACATACTCTTGTCTTCCTGTCCTGGTGGGCCAAGATGTAATACTGGCTGATTTATTAAGAATCATTTTTTTGAGGGAAAAAGTGACCTCTTTGTAATCCGGATTGCTGCAGCTCAGAAAATTCTTGCTATAATTTAATGCTAATAATTAAGAAAAACAGGTTCGTATCTTCCCTCAGTCATGGAGTTACTGGGTGATTTTGCGCCAGTCACTCTCTCTGCCTCAACCCCATTTATGTTCCAGGGGTTGTGGTGATAAATGTAGAGGAACCTCTCATATATACTGTTTTGACTTCTTCCAATAAATAATAAATCTGTGAATATTCTGTCCCTCCAGAGCGGGCGCTCTTAGCATTTGCAACCAAAAACTGGTTGTCAGTTATGCCATATTTTCCTTTTTAAATGGGAGGAAAAATGAAAGAAGCAATGAGAAAATAGAGGAGATAGTTTTCGTATGGTGTGTGGAAGATAGTATGTATTTGCACATTTCTGTGACTAAGACAAGAAATTGCATGGTAAACGTCTTATTCAAAAGCACCAAAGAGAACAGAGAAAGGAAAATGATTGGAAAGAAAATGTATGATGGGGGAATTTCTTTGGTTAGGAATGGAGGGGACTTCTTCGAATGCCTATTCTATAGCTGAACCAAAGTCAAGAATCCCAAAGCTGGAAGCAGGCCAAATGCCATGCTACCACAAGACAGAGCAGGAGCGCCCCCTGTGTTCCACCAACAGACTGCAGAACAAGGAGCCAAGTCCAGCACTTCCAGGGAGAAAATGGAGCCTCAAAGAAAGAGTAATGACTCCAAGCTGAAAATCTTACTTAGATGGTGGACAAAATCATACTCAGATGGTGGTTTTCCAATTTTATGGCTATTTTTAAGGGTATAACCAAAGGCAATTCAGATGTTGCTTCCTAGATTCTCTTCTCTTATAGAAACAGTTGATGGCACAGCTTTCAAATACAGTGCAGTTGTGTGTGATGCAAATCAGTGGTGGGATTCAATTTTTTTTACTATTGGTTCTGTGGGCGTGGCTTGATAGGCATAGCAGGGGGAGGATACCTGCAAAATCCCATTCCCTCCCCACCCCACTAACCTGCTTTCCAGCTCCGTTCTCCTGTGCAGGGCAACAAAAGAAGATCCAGCCAATCAGCTGGAA